GGGCGCTGTGGGTCAGAATCGACTCCATGGCAGTGGGTGTGGTTTGGGCTTTGCTTCTGTGAAGACTGACAGCCTTGGAGACCCTGTGGGGCAGTTCCACTCTGTCCTCTAGGGGCACTGTGGGTCAGAATGGACTCCATGGCTGTGGGTGTGGTTAGGGCTTTGCTTCTGTGAAGAGTGACAGCCTTGGAGACGCTGTGGGGCAGTTCCACTCTGTCCTCTAGAGGCGCTGTGGGTCAGAATTGACTCCACAGCAGTGGGTGTGATTTGGGCTTTGCTTCTGTGAAGACTGACAGCCTTGGAGACCCTGTGGGCAGTTCCGCTCTGTCCCATAGTGGCACGTCCATAAAGCTTTCCAGTAATATATCAGACAGTGTTTCACGCTGTTCATAAGATAAAAACTGGCCAATTATTTGAGAAGTGGATGGCCCCTTCCTTCTTTCAACTTTAAAGACTTGAAAGACCTCTTTCAAGTGCTGAAGAGCAAAGATGTCTCTTTGAAGACTAAGGTGCGCCTGATCCAAGCCATGGTGTTTTCAGTCGCCTCGTATGATTGTGAGAGGTGGACAATGAATAAGGAATACTAAAGAAGAGTTGATGCTTTTGAGTTGTGGTGCTGGCGGAGAATGCTGAAAGTCCCATGGACTACTAAAAGAACTAACAGATCTGTCCTGGAGGAAGTGCAGCCGGAATGCTCCTTGGAAGCGAGAATGGCCAGACTTGGTCTGACCTACTTTGGTCATGTTGTCAGAAGGGGCCATTCCCTGGAGAAGGATGTCATGCTTGGTAAGGTGGAGGTTCAGTATGCTGGTTCCCTGGTGCCGCTCTGAAAAGAATATATCAAAAGGGGAGTCTGAACAAACAGGAGTATTCTCTTGCAGTTCAAGAGGCTACAAGTCTGAGTTCAAGGTGCCAGGCTCCAAGGGCTGGATGAAAGCCCCTCAACCTTGGAGCTGCCTCTTGCTCCCGGCCCACTGAAGCTAGAGGCATCTCTTCACTCAGGCAGCTGCTGGCTGCTGAGGCTAACAAGCCCAAGGTCGTCAAATAAAATGGCACAATCCCGATGTTAACCAATCCACACTGCAGGCCATTAATTCAAGTTCATTGGAAGTCCCAAGGTCGGCAGAGCATGGCAAGCTGCTGAACAACGACACGGCTACATGCAGGGTTCAAGCATGACGTTGCCCAAGGCTTCTCCTTATATCCAGGAATTAGGCCACATTTCTGAGGCAGCTACTCAGCTGCTAACAGTAGATTCCACTATGGAGTTGTTGACCAGTCTCATGTGAATAACTACATCCAGCTGCCCAGCCACTCAACCAGGCCCAGCCAGGTTGACACACAAACTTAACCACCACAGTCAGTGAAAAAGGGGAAGGCCTTCAATGAGGTGGACTGACACAGGGCTGCAGTGATGGGCTCAGGTATAGCAAGGGTCGTGAGGCTGGCCCAGGACCGGGCAGCATTTCATTCCGTTGTACACGGGGCCTCTCTGTGTCGGAGCCGACTTACAGCACCTAACAACAACACAGGGGTGCTGTGAGTTGCAGTCAACTCAATGGCAGTGAGATACTTGAAGGTAGTTAGCAGGCCCACCTGTGTTTTCTTCCAGCTGAACACCGGCTCCTTTGTGCTGCAACACTTGACTCAAACACCCTCTCCCCCAGGACCACTTCCCCAGAGTCGCAGGGCATGCAGATCCATGGTACATCCACATCCACTTTGGGGAAAATCAAACCACACCCACTGCAGTGGAGTGGATTCTGACCCACAGCGCCCCTAGAGGACAGAGTGGAACTGCACCACAGAGTCTCCAAGGCTGTCAGTCTTCACAGAAGCAAAGCCCAAAGCACACCCACTGCCCTGGAGTCCATTCTGACCCACAGCGCCCCTAGAGGACAGAGTGGAACTGCCCCACAGGGTTTCCAAGTTTGTCAGTCTTCACAGGAGCAGATTTCAGATCTTTCTCCCATGGAGCAGCTGGGTCGATTCAAACCCCTAAACTTTCTGTTTGCAGTGGGTGCATTATGACTGGTCCACCAGGGCTCCTTTGGAAACCATACTGTTACCACGCTAACTGGGGTTGGACCAGCCTGGGTTGCTGGCAGTGACAAGTGCTCAGGCTGTTTTTCTCTCTGGCTTCTTTTGCCACAGGACCTGGAGGACAGACTTGCCCAAAGGGACATGTGCCCTGGTGTCCCTGTCGGTGGAGCATGAGGAAGCCCCGCTGCTGGGCGGTGTGCGTGCCGTCCTGATGGACTCTCAGTACCTGATAGAGCCGTGCGGCTCCGGGAAGTCCAGACTGACCCACATCTGCCGGGTGGACCTCAAGTAAGTGACCTCCAAGGACCACGGGCACCGGAGGGGTCTGAGTCAGCTCGCTGGCACATTCGCCAGGACTCTGCTTTTCATCCCTCAGTTGTGTTTGGAAGAATAATTTATTGCCTTATTTAAGAAGCCCCTGGTGGCACAGTGGTTAAGCACTCAGCTGCCAACTGAAAGGTCAGCAGTTCCAACCCACTAGCTGCTCAGTGGGAGAAAGATGAGGCAGTCTGCTTCTGTGAAGACTGACAGCCTTGGAGACCCTGTGGTGTAGTTCCATTCTGTCCTCTAGGGGCGCTGTGGGTCAGAATCAACTCCATGGCAGTGGGTGTGGTATGGGCTTTGCTTCTGTGAAGATTGACAGTAAACCCTATGGTGCAGTTCCACTCTGTCCTCTAGGGGCGCTGTGGGTCAGAATGGACTCCACGGCAGTGGGTGTGGTTTGGGCTTTGCTTCTGTGAA